CCAAGATCCCATGATGTTGTAGTGTCTGACAGATGTGGTGAATGGTTTTGAAAACCGACATCATGGGATGTTAGTACATGGACTGCTCTTTGTATCTTATTCCTTGCTTATTATCTATCTATGATATCCAAATTCTAATTTCTTCTGTATCTTTGCCACTCCTCTTATTAGGTGATTTTAATGCTCATTTGCCCTGGGGAGGGTCTCACTGTGACACTCTTGGGGACCAGTTAGAGGCTTTTCTCACTTCTTTTCCTCTCTATGTCTTAATCACTGCTACCTTTATACATTTTGATCATCACACTCAAACTCTTTCCTGTGTACATCTCTCTATATACTCTACAGAGCTAGACTTTGATTGGTCTATTTTACCTGATCTGCTTATTTTTAAACCTGACCCCATCATCTTCAGACGAGTTGAAGCAACGTTTTTACTACCTCTTTTCTTGCTGTAGCATCTGTTGCAATCCCCATACCTCAGGTGAACATTACTGAAAATATTTACCCTGATGGTCTCAAGACTGTTCATTTGAAAAGGGCTGCTTGAGGCTGCTACTGTTACATCAGAATTATGGATTAGCTCCTAGCTTTTAGACAATTGAGAGCACTTGCCCATCAGGTTACACAGGTAGCAAAACTTACTTGCTGGTGAGCTTTTATATCTGTTGTCACAACTGCTAGTTCTGAATGAAGGTACAGAAGTTGACTGGCAAGTACTCTCTGGACCCTGCTCTTGTTCTTACAGTTCTAGTAATAGCAGTGCACACCCTGCTGAGGTTGCAACAGCAGTCAGACAGCACCTTGTACACTGATCCCCAAAGGCTGCATCTCCCCATCCTTTCTTTCCTCCAAACCTGAAAGGGCATCAGTACCTCTAGATTTTACTTATCACATTGAGAAATCTCATACCCCTCAAGTTCGGTGAGTTCTCTTCAACACGCACTACATGCCAACTGACAGCAGCTGGGCCTGATGACATCCATGTCCGTACACGTCAACACTTACACCCTAATGGTGCTCACCATCCTCATACATCATTTCAATCTCATTTGGTCTCGGTGGGTTCTCCATCTTCATTGGAAAACCACATTGCTCTACCTTTTTGTAAACCAGATATTTTGGACCATGATACCTCTCATTACAGACCCATCACTCTTATTAGAGCAGTTTGTAAATTGTTGGAGCACTTGGTTAACACATGTATAGTATGGTACTTAGAAACCTGAAATTCTCTTCCCTCATCAATTTGGTTTTCATTTGGACTGTTCTGTCATTGATCCAGTAATCTGTTAGGATACCTGTATTCAGTGTCTTTGCCAATAATCAGTCAGTTCTTAATCTTTTTCAATTCCTAAAAAGTTTGACATTACCTGGGCATTACATTGTAGGCCAAGCCCATTCCGTAGCCATTCGAGGCAATTTGCCACTCCTCACTTTTTTTTTTTTCTTGAAAGCATTAACAGATTCCTGGCTCTTAACCCTTTCATTGTTGACGCCCCCAAATTGAAAACCCCTTCTGCGTCATCATTTTTGAAAAAAAAAAAATTGGTAGAGAATCTTAATGCATTAGTTATTTTGCCCAGTTTGAGGTCTATTTTAGGCTAATTCTAATGCTCAAACTGACCTACTTCCTGGTTATTTTGCTAAAATACCTTCTTTACTAACCATTGATCACAAGAAACTGCCCATTCACCTATCAGAACTACCCTTTAAAGTGTCCTGAATTTGATAATTTACCCAGTTTTACATTGTTTTTATATTAAAATTTATTTAAAATGGTCCAGAATAAATGCTGTAGGCATTCCAGTCACTAAAGTGACCTTTCCTCTATTCAGTAATCTATAAAACTCATTCCCCCAGCTCACTGAAAAAGCATTTGCAAGCTGTTGCATAGAAACCAGTTAAAAAAAAAAATAGCAAATTGGCACTTACTCATTTCAAAAGCAATCCAAACATAATCTATATACAGTGGACCCCCGCTTAACGATCACCTCCCAATGCGACCAATTATGTAAGTGTATTTATGTACGTGTATGTTTGGGGGTCTGAAATGGACTAATCTACTTCACAGTATTCCTTATGGAAACAAATTCGGTCAGTACTGGCACCTGAACACACTTCTGGAATGAAAAAATATCGTTAACCGGGGGTCCACTGTATACTGGTTTTGAAAATTTGCCTCTTCTGATTGGCTTCATTCTCTAGTTACCTTACAGAAACACATTTTCCAATTACAGTGGACCCTCGAGTTTCGTAAGCCTCGCACTTCATAAATTTTGCCTTTCGTAACATTTCATAACTTTTTTCACCTCCCGATTCGTCGGTTGTATGGAATGCATCTGAGAGCGGCCTCCACCATTTGCAACTGCTAAATAAGCCACCATGGGCCCAAAGAAAGTTTCTAGTGCCAGCCCTATGGTAAAGAAGGTGAGAAACAAATAGAATTCAAGAAAGAACTCATAGCAGAGTACTAAAGTGGAGGAGGAAGAGAGAGGGGAGAATATGCCTTCTTCAGTGATTCTACGATACTAAAGCAGCAGGAGTCGATAAAGGCTATACTGCCAGCCAGCGATAGTGTAGCAAGTAAGTAAGCGATTAAGCGATAGTAAAATGACGACACGAAACTTAACTCCTCCATTGTTGTATGAGGTATACAGGGCACTGACAATGTACGCTGCCCTCTGCCAGCATCTCCTCCAAGGTAAGTGTAAATATTTCTTATTTATAAAGTGTAAATATTTATTATTTATAAATTACATACATGTACATTGTTTGTGTGAATAGTGGTAGTGGCCTCTGCTGCCGCCACCTACCACTAATATATGTACGGCTTATGCTCTCAGTGGCCCTTATAAACCAAACAACAACACACCATCACTTGTGACATACATAATGACATACTTTATTCATTCTAGAGTATATATCATGTTTCTCTGTTATTAATATTGTTTATTGTGTCATATTAGATGAATTGTGATAGATAAACAAGCCATAGAGTTGATATTAGCTCATCATATTTGAGTATTTTGTCCTGTCTCAAAATACACTCCCTCTCTCAACAAGAGTCTTCAATAAAGGTATGTAACATAGTAATTTAAATGTTCATTTATCCAATTCATTAGTGCTTTATATTTATTTATCATTGTTTTCTGTATGTAAATCTATATTTAATCTTATCTAAAACATGTATTTTTTGTTAATACTTTTGGGTGTCTGAAACAGATTAATTGGATTTACATTATTACTTATGGGGAGAATAGTTTCGCCATTCATAAATTTCGCCTTTCGTCAGAATCTCTGGAACGGATTAATTATAAAATTCGAGGGTCCACTGCATTAACAAAGTTAGTAAATTGGCAAATTTGCACATACATGGCTTAAACTTAGCATATAGTGAAAATCATCCTTCTCAGGCATTTTAACCCTTTCAGGGTCCCCAGGCCCTCTCCCAGACTTGTTCTCAGGGTCGCCCAAATTTCAAAAAAAAACAAAAGAAAAAAAAAATTTCTTTTGAAAAGATAGAGAATCTTTTCCCAGTCATAATGACACCAAAAGTATGAAATTTGATGGAAAACTTACGGAATTATGCTCTCATGAAGTTAGCGGTCTCAACTATGTTTACGCATCGGCTATTTTGCCCACTTTGAGCCCTATTTTCGGCCAATTCCAGTGTACTAGTCGACAAAAATCATAACTATTTCACTAGAACTCCATTTTTTTCTATCGAATGAGTACAAGAAACCGCCCATTTACCGATTTCAACTATCCAATAAAGTGGTCAGAATTTAACAATTTTGCCAATTTCACACAAATTTCAAAAGATGCCAATTTCCAGATAGGGTCCAGAATAAACAAAGATATTCCTGGCACTAAAATAATATTTCCTCTGTTCATTAGTCATGTCCCCATGCCCTTCTTACATTCTTTTGCTTTCCACTTTGAATTTTTATTCTCACAAAAAATAGAAGATTTACTGTTATGCAGACTACTGCATTGGTGTAGAAATGGTATAAATAATATCAGCGCACTTGTGAAAGAATATTAGGCTCACCAGTTGATGTGTATTGAACGCTTAGCATGATTTGTTTACTTTTGAACTTTGGTAAAAATCGATCATTTCTGCTACTTTGAGCTCAATTTCAAGGTACTTTTCATTGTAAAACCAGTCAAAATCATCTCAATTTCTGTAATATGTCTTCCATTCTATAAAATGAGACCAGGAAAACTAGAATACAATAATAAATACCATACGAAAATACAGTGCAAAGTCGCTGTTTTAATCCAAAAACACGGTCAAAGTTTTTTTTTTTCTCATTACGCACTGTGTGCTGCAGGATTTTTTTTTATACTGCGCACATAGACCCATTCTTTCATATGTAGGCCTTCCAGCTTTCTCTCACTAGATTTGAGGGCACTAGAATTTAGGCATACTAGTACGTCAAAAACCCTGGTGCGTAAGCCGTACTAGTACATCCGAAACCCTGAAAGGGTTAAAAGGGGGGCATTCTCGAGTTATTCCATGAGGAACGAAAAAATGCCACCATTTTAAAAATATAATTAGCACTTACACTCAAATAACAGTCAATTTTATCCCAATGAGGAGGTTTTATGTTAGAAGCTTATTTTTTCAAGTTGGTGCACAAAAACCTGGGGACATGCTAAATCCAGGGTAAGTGGAGAGTTTTTTTTTTAATTGATTCAGGAAAAAATCATTAGCAGGGCTTTGAGGTCTGGTGGTAGGAAATAGTGTATGCACTTTGTAGGAGGGATTGGGGATGTTAGTTTTTAGGATTATTTGGATTGCGATGTCTGTGCCCTTCTGGCAAGGCAGCTTTTGAATGATGTCAAATTTTTGTTTATATTTTGGATCACCTTGCCATGGTGGGAGATGGCCAGTTTGGTTAAAAGAGCATGGGATTATATGCACAGTATATAAAATATACATTGATTCTTAACTGGATATATGTTAGTATTATACTTTTTTGGTTTTACCTTTGCAGTAATTGGAAAATGTGGCTGATACCTGTCGGGCTGGCTGTTGCTACTGCATTTGCCTACAGAGTATTGGCTAGGTAAACAGCAAAGTATTTCGTAGGATTTCAAGATATGTTAGAGGCTCTGACTATTTTACAGCTCGTGGCGGTCATGGTTGGTGCCTGTTGGTCTGGCTTGTGTAGCATCGGTGATCTACAGGATGTACGCCCTGCCACAAGCAAGCTAATGCAGTTAGACCTTATAACAACTTCGGTCACTTCCTGATTACTGTCACCCATGTTATTTCCATTCTGACTAGTGTTTCTTTTGTAATCCTAATGTTATATTTTTTTCAAAATACTATAAAATCTTATAAAGTTCTATTTTCCTTTTGTACTTGAAAATTGTGAAAAATAGTGTATAGTCCTGTTAGGGAAAGAATGTAAAGTATTACCATTGTGCTTCCCTCTGATCCTTTGTACATTTTATTGTTAGCTTCTGCGGTCTTAAGTTTCATGCAACTAACTCTTGTATATGATTATATTCTCACCTATAGTCATTCGCTTAATAGTTATTTGTGTCCAAATTTAGGTATTGTATAATCTTTGCAAATTAAATGTAATGCTTTCCATAATTGCAATAAAAATTTGAAACATGGCTTGTCAGCAGTATCACATCCATGCAGGGCATATTGGCATGAATGATTTATTATTTTTTCCAAAATTTTGGCACAAAACCTGTTATATAGCCTTAGCCACATATAGTTCTGTATAACATTTTAATAATCCAATAACATCTCCAGTGATTTTAATATATTTTTATCCATGTGAATCCCTGACTGTTGATCTAACCTACTGACCTCCTTCATATAATTTATGTGCCACAGTACTATAGTTTTAAAAGTATAAAAGACACTTGATTCATCATAGCTTTTTCAGTTTTAAAAATATTTTCTTGTAATACTACAATAAACAAATTCCTGATGTTGACATATAACATTTTCTGGGATTTCCTATTTGTAATAAAAATAATACAATTCATTTAAATTTTTTAGTGCTCTCCAAGAACCATCTTTGATGATTAAATGAATATAAATAGGCTTCTTTTTCATTCCAGTGATTATGGGATCACTTACCATGTTTTTGTAAGATATTTGAAACTGAAGATAGTTAAATAAAACTTGGTATGATACTCTCTGTTGCTACAAGATAAACGTATCGTTTCATAAATGTAGAGTAATTATGGCAAAGTCTTTAAAAAAAAAAAAATTACTGTGAATGCTGGTTTTTTATATTCAAGTCATGGATCATAGCTCTAATAAATTAGTACCAGTTCTTGTCCTGTATTGTAGTGTATCAATAATATAATGGGAATGCACAAGAGCTTCATGAATGTAGTGGATGGTAGTGCTTAAGAGCTTAATAAAATATTACATTCTGTTGTGCTTTTTGGCTAGAGGGGTCAAACCAACTGAATTTTCTACGTAATATTTTTTAATTGACTGATAGATTTATGAATAAAAATTAACTTGATAGACATTACTTTTTTTGTATATAAGTTAGTTTAGCAGCCTAAGCTGACCTTTTGTTTTTGTTAATTTACAAAGCAATAGAATGATTTAATTATTCAGCATTTTAATTATATACAGTACCATTTCTAACATTATCAAATTTACAGTATTATCAACTTTTTACTATTGTGACCAATTCACTGTCATACTAATGAAATCATAATTGCAAACCAAGCAAAACAATTTGGTCTATTTTTCACAGTCCTTATCCATAATTTGTTCATTGTTATTGGCCATATGTGTTAGCTAATTTAGATGTTAAGGGAAATACAAAAGCTACATTGGGTTATTAGGCAAGCATCTTATGGGGAGTGGCACTCCTCCCAGAGAAGAGGACCCGCAACCCCTAGGTACAATCTGCTCGACCCTCAGCAGTGTTATAATGATGACTTAAACATGCTAGACTTTATTATTCTAATCCTATATAACTATCCAAAATTGGTTTAAATTTGGTTAATACTGAATTATATGAATTAATAACATTCTGATCTTCAGACTTATTTCTATAATAAGTTAGGTCTACTAGTTAAAAAAAAAAAAAACATATCTAATGTTAATTTTTTAATGGCCAATTTTTTAACATTTGAGATTGACATTGGTGCCTAATTATAAAGCCATATCAAATGATAATATTATAAAAGTCCAGTAATACCATTCTCCACAATATCAGGTAGTGGTATTTCACAGGAAGTTCTCTTTCAAGTGTTGAATTTAAATAATCACATTTATTGGAGAAATGAACTAAATAACATATACATGTACTATGCTTTTTTTTTATAAAATATTTTTGTTGATTAGTATAATAATTTTCTTCTCTTTGAAATTATAATAAGCATAGGGTGTGTGAATGTTGAAAATTTGTGTACCTATCCATTGTATGAAAATGAGTGTTGACAAAATATACTGTTGCAATTGTAGAAAGTGCAGTTGCAGACACTTTAATAACAGTGCAGCTTTAATTTTCAAATTACGTCTGACAGTTTAATGTAATGATTGTGATTGGAAAGATTTGTACAGGTCTCAGAGCATATTTTCAAACATGTGTAATATTGTACTTTAATGTGTCAACATTGAAAAATATTTGAATCTTCATTACAAAGGATTTAGAAAATATAACTTTTGTTGAATAATGTAAAAAATTATAGCAAGAATTTATAGCCAGATAAAAGTTATCAAATTAGTTATCACTGACTAATAATGTTTTCTTATCCAAATAGCTTTCATTTTTTCCTTTAATATTATGGTTGGGCTAAATGATGAGATTGCTCAAGTAGCTTAAACTGCTATCGAAAAGCAAACAGATGTCCAGGACACCTGGTTACATGTATATAGTCGGAACTCGATACTGGAACAAGAGTATATTCATGGGAAGCACTATAATAGTCATACAGTGCTTGGGCAGTCAATGATGGAGAATAAAGTTTGACGAGGAAAAGAAGGGTAGCTACAATTCTTTGGATCAAAGTCAATCAATGGAGGTTTCTAGGAGATAAGGAGCTCTTGATCTATGAAATTAGACTTGGCTTCCTCTTTCTTGGATTGAACCTAATTTCCTCTTATTTCCCAGTTACTGTGTGACATGGATTTAGCATTATTTCCTAAGTAATAATTTGTATAAAGAGCTCAACTTTGAATTATTATTATTATAATCAAGGGGGAAGCGCTAAACCCGGAGGATTATACAGCTCAACTTTGAAGCACCCCTTTAAGGGAAAGAATTCAACAGAAATGTGCAGTAGATCCCAGCTTCCTTGAAGGAAAGCTTGATGCTGAAGGGATCTTTATCCAAAGAGCAGGAACTCAACTTCCCTCAGAGGAGGTTCCTTGATACTGGTGAAATGCTCTTGATCCAAGGAATTGAATCTAAGTTCCCCTTCCTTGTATCAATCCTGATTGCATCTCATTTGCCCAGGCACTGGGCAAATGACTCCTACAGGCTTAGTGATCCCCATCCCCATGAATGTAATAACAGTAATCCAAACCACTGCAGTACTGAGTGTTCACCAGTTAAGTATGCTTGCTCCTCTTGTTCAGTGGCACTAGTTTTCATTCCGCTTTGATCTATTGATCCGAGTAGATGAGATGGTTACCACAGCAAGAGAGAAGCTCTAATATTGTACAAAGCAAATGGAAGGCAAAATAAAGTGCTTAATATTGCATGTAGAATTTGTGTTTGACAGCAGTGTTCTTTGATTGGAGGTTTATAAAATCTGAATGAATAAACAAAATAAGAGACTATGACCCTGATGCTTATGTTGTGTAAATAGGATTTAATTAAGTAAACCCATCCCTCAAGGGAGATTTTTTTTTTTTTTTTTATTTGTTACTAAGAGGTTCTTCATCCAAAGAATTTGACATGCCATTTCCTTCCTTGGACTGAACTTGAAATGCCTCCCATTCCCCAAGGTGTACTGTATGACCCTGTGGGTTTAGTGTTCCCTCATCTATGTTACAGTAACAGCAATAATTAATACACAATGGGTTTAGTGTTCCTCCATATACAGTAGGGCCCCCACTTATATGGCAGGTTAGGATCCAGGCTACTGCCAGAAAGCAGAATGCCATTTTTTTCCACTTATAAATGCATATAAATGCCAGATAACGAGTTTATACTAACATATATTAAGTTAGCAATAGAACTAGGCATTAAAAACAATAGAAAGTATAATACACACACAGTACACCCATTACCTTTATATATTTGTAATCTTAATGTAGGGTGAGAGGCGAGTTTTATTTGTAGGAAGTATGGTAGCCAGCCAAGGCAACCCTCCCTGCCCCGCCCCACCCCACCCCACCCACACAGTGTAAACAAACCAGGCGATCACGTCTGGTGTTCGTTCAAACACGTTTGTATTATACCATAATACAAACACTTTACATTGTGTACAAGTTGTCTCCACATTGATACAGTAGAATAAATAAAGACCAACACTTCCATTCTCATGTAATTTTTAAAAGTAATGATATTCTGACAAATTATTATTACAAATTATTATTAAAAATTATTACAAGTTATTACAAATTATTATAATAAAAAAGTACTAAACCCACAAGGGTTGTGAATAGCTATAGATAGTGAAAGCATATGAAAGGAATAAATTTCTAGTTAAGTTACTGGTTTTTGACTAGAGAAAACGTAATTCTTCGACTTGTACCAAACACATTGTAAACAAATCTTGTATTTGTTAATTTTTATACTGTGACTGTATGCATCATGTTTATATGTTACATAGCATGTTTATATAATTTTGAAAAAATATCATAGATGGATTAATGGAAATGTCTATATTAACGTAATATACGACATTTAATGCGCCTAAGAGATATGGCATCGAGTAGGGAGAGATTTAGTGATTGTAATGTGTACCTGCATGCCAGCACAGTGTGTAAGTATATTTAGGTACAGGTACACATAAGTATAATTATCAGAGTACATGTAAAATGTGTAATAACTTTAAAACACTTGAAATTTTGGAAAATTTCCAGACAGAGAGAGTTGTGCTTATGGAGAATGTAAACAAACCGGGTGGGGCGCACTGTATTTGAAAGACCACTCACCGTATAGCAAATTTTGGTCATAATTTAAAATTGACATATTAGGAGAATACCGTAAGGTGAGACGCTGTAAAGCGGGGCCCTACTGTATATATAAAACATGAAATAACTTTAAAACACCTGAAATTTTGGAAAGTTTCCAGACATAATGGAGAGATGTGGTGCTCATGGAGAATGTAAAGAAACTGGGTGGGGCACGATGAACGTATTGGAAAGTCAGGTGGGGGTAGCTGTATAATGAGTTTGGGTTGTAATTTGAAATATCCGTATTAGCAGAATGCAATAAAGTGGGGCCCTACTGTATGTAACATTTTCAACAACAATGATAGTAATAAAAAGCAAACCCACCAGATTAATCCAACAGTGTATGTCAATAATTTGATTTAAAATTTAAATGCCACCTGGCACACAACATTGCACTGTTGGCCTTGCTACTGGCAAGACACAGTTGCTCCTCACCTCAAGAAGTGTCCCTGCAATCCCTGTTGGGGAGGGGAACCTCTACCTCGTCATCCACCTACCTCAAGATGAGTTACTCTAACAGTCGGGATAAAACCATCCAGTGGTATGATCAACAACTCCACCAAGCTTGCCCTTGCTGTTGCTGTCAGGGGCTTGCAAGTCAAGACCAACACCATCCTTTCCCTCCAAGAATCCTTCATTGTCGTCTGTGAAGACGATGTGGAGGACAGCCAGACAGCCATTGCAAACAGCAGCAGGTGCGCCAGGATCTGCTGCTTGCAGGAGCACCATCGACCCTCCCCAAGAGGTCAGAGACTCCGCTAGCAGCCCAAGGGAGAGCTGCCCTGGGAACGTGTCATCTTGGTGGATGCCAGTTTGACTGCAGATCCCACGCCCTCTGTAAAGGTGAAGGAATGGTAGCTGTCACCTCTGTCTGCTGGGAGGGGCTGTTGGTTGTTCCCACCTGGAGCCCTCCGGGTGCCCAGACATCCACCGTGCGCACGGATGTTGAAGCTTGAGGAACTGAGTGCACACTGCCTGTGGCACAACCGACGGCTGCCTCGTAGTTGACTCCACAGCGCTGTCCCTGCAGTGGAAGTTCCCATAAGCCCGGCACACCCTATGCCATTGCTGACATCATGGGCTGGGAGGAGAAAAGTACCCTCTACAGTTGGGGCGGCGCTGGGAGTTGGGTGGGTGAGGTGCAGGGGTGAGGGGTTATGAGAGGATCCGTGTTTACTACACACGGGGCAAGCACGGGGAGGGGGGTGGGGGTACTTCCCTACACACTGATTGCACACTGTTGTTCACACTGTCATGCCTACAACAAAAAATTTATTTGTTTCCCATGCACATCATGAAAGATATGGGCATGTGACTCCCCAAAACCAGTGTTTCTTTCATCTTCACCCCCCCTCCCTTCCCGGCAGCATGAGGGAGGAGACACTGACTGGTCCAGACCTGGACACTCAACACCACATAAGGACTCTAGGCACCAAGTCCTTATCCAGAGTCACTTCCCTTCCTTGTTTTTTAATGCCACAAATCTTTCCATCCTATTCCACATTGCACAAATCTCCATTACTACCACCTTCTACCACCATCACAACCACTACCACCCTCTTCCACCATCACAACCACTACCACCCTTTACCACCAGCACAACCACTACCACCCTCTACCACCATCACAACCACTACCACCCTCTTCCACCATCACAACCACTACCACCCTTTACCACCAGCACAACCACTACCACTCTCTACCACCATCACAACCACTGTGGAAAATGTATATTTTCCAAAAATACGGTAATTTATAGGTAAATAGATGGCCTATATTGTATTTAATAAAAATTTGTCATAGAAAATGGGAAAGCCTGCATCTGCGCAGAAGGACAGTCGCCAATGTTAATTTGAATTGGATACAACGTTAGTGTAATGGGAAGGAATTTTCGTGCTCTAGAGGTTAAAATTGGGCTGACACCTCTCAAATAGGAGGCGAAATTGTTGGATGTGCATTCCTGCATAACTTGAGATATCAGGCCCCCTCAAGGAAGGTTCCTTGATGTTGGTGAGGGGCTCTTGATTTAGGGAATTGGATCTGTGCTCCAGTTCCCCGAATTAAGCCTGAATGCCTTCCACATCCCCCCCCCAGGCGCTGTATAATCCTCTGGGTTTAGCGCTTCCCCCTTGATTTTAATAATAATGAGATATCAGGCGACAGGACAGGACAACTCCAGGAACCTCAGATAAGTCTGTTATGTTATAACTGGCCAGTTGTTATTTTCATGTATAGACAGTGAAGTTTTCTGAGTATGATACAAGTTAATCTCCAGTTAAATTGGTGAGTGATATTAAGATATTTTCCTTCTGTTATGTAAATGTATGTGTATTTATATATAATCATTTTTTAATTTAATATACAGTCCACAAATTTATATATTTACCAGCATTCCTGGTGATGTATATTTCATTTATGAATAATAGGTCCAGAGCAACTTGTGGATATGACAGTGGTAGGTGTCGAAGGGGGACATTTTTGCGACCTAGGTGTCCCAAATTCCTACTTGTCTAACTGATAAATAATAATTATCTTTGTTCATTTACTATTATGTACATGATACATTCAGATAAATGCAATTTTCCACAACCACTATCACCCTCTGTTATGTGGGTA